TTCCAGTGCTTGGAGAAACAGCTCTAAAACCTGAAGACCAATGAGGGGAAAAATCCCCTTATGAATGTTTTAAAGGGAAGAGTTTAAGTTGAAGACATACATGTATGTATATGTGTGTGTGTGTGTGTGTGTGTGTGTGTGTGTTTATGTATACAGATAAATTTGTACACACAGAGCTGAATTCACTGGAAACACAAAAGGCAAACCTTTCCCTTCACAGCTGCATTCCCATGGCCTTCTACATCTATTGCTCTGCTACAAGGATGAAGATTGGCTATGGATGCAGGGAGTTCCCTGCATGTGGCATACAGTTTAGAGGTCAATCACACTCTCACAGGAAGGGACAAGACTATGGTGATTTTGAATGGCAGGTTGGAGGAATCACTCGATTCTGCTTTGTGTTTCTCAGAGCTCAGAGGTACAGAAGAGCTGTCTGTTGCAAGACTAGTGCCAGTTCCAAAATGAAGTGTTCACCTTTTTGCCACAGATATAATTTGCCTTAGGGGAGAAAAAATATTATTTAGAACTGTTTACAGGTGTTTAATTGTTTCTCATTCATATCTTGTGAGAGAATAATATGTTACTTCTCTCTTTCCTAAGGCTTGGACTGGTCTATTTAATGTATATCCATGAGGCTATGGTAAAAAGAGCTGTAGGACTTTTTATCCCAGTGAAAGCTGTACAGCCAGAAAAAGCATGCAAGCGCACACACACATGCTCCTTTGAAAGCTTAAAACTGTTTCTTGAGGACCTCAGAACCAATGCAGAACTATTTGTGGATCCTCAAGTCAGCTTAAAACAAGCTGGGAGCTGGAATACCCAGAATATGGAGTGAACCACAGGAGTGACCAGGGATTCCAGGAGATCCTTCAGTATTAGGTATTCGGTATTAGGTATGCAGTATTAGGGACTCAGCTAAGTGGTGAGCCAGGGGTAAAAGGCAGTCCACATCGGTCACAGTGGGCTCTGCTGATTTCCTTCTCCCCCAGCCAAGGCTTCATATGATCCTGCAGATCCCCAACAGAACAGACTTGCAGCCAGCCCCTGCCATAGCTAGGAGTGGGAATCTGCAGTTTCACTTCCTAGGCACCTTGTGTAACCTCTTCAATCTTTGTCCTAATAACCTCTTTCTTCAAGGTGGGGAGTGTGGGGGCAGAACAAAAAAGTCTGTCTTGAATCTTGATTAGTGAAAGTGGAAAGGAAGAAAAAAGTGTCCTTGTTATGCTTGGTAGAGCTGCATGTGTGCATGTATCCCACCACCTTCCCACAGACATGCCTGGTTCTAACCCTGTATCTAATCCTGTTCACTGATGGCTCCTTAATAGGATGATGTGGCCCGGTTAGCACTGACAGGACTGTCTTCATCTGTGGAGGACAGGGATTCCACTGGAAGATTTACCACTTGAATTTGCCCTGTTTCAGGATGATTGGTTCTCTGGATTCTTTAAAATAGTTGCATTATGAATACATAAATATTATTGCCCTCTGGTTCGTTCCTCACTGCCTGAGCAGATGAACTCTTTTGCCAATGACCTTTTTGCCTCAGTGCAACAAGAGGATCTCTTGCAGTCCCTCTAATTCCTAGGAGTTGCCTCTGGTTTCTAGGAATCAGACAACAGACTTCCTCACAGTCTTCCTTCCTTTAATCTTCAGCCAAATATTAAGCAAATGCTCAACCCACTCATACTATTTTCTCCTCCATAGGTGGCATAAGAAATATTTTATAGGATCAGTAATTTAGCAGTAACAATGAGAAACTTCTGACCAGATATTGATATCTGTCTCTGAGCTGGTGGCTGCAGCTGCTTTGAGGAAAGAAAGGGGTACTTTGAGGGTGTAATTAATTTCATCCCAAAGTGAATATCTCAAACAAGTCAGAAGGGACGTGAGATGAATTGCATCTGGGCATCTGTAAGGGCACGGCTGTGAAAAAAATCACAGTTGGGTGAGATTCCTCTTCTCTCCCCAGAGTTGGCTTTCCTGCTGCCTGGCAATGCCATGCTGGTCAGCCAGGAGTCAGGCAAAGAGAGCAGGGACTGCTGGTAGCAGGAGGTCTCCTACAGCTCCAGTGACAGAGACCACACACTGCTGTTCATCTCAAGCCCATCTAGGACTTCTGGATAGTGTTGGTAATGAAATGTTTACTTTCTGGGATGTAATTTCTGTTCCCTTCTCACAGCTATGTAGTAGTGCTTGAATAACCAAACACATGCTTCCTTAGGACTTCCTTAGGACTTTTACTGTATTGCTTATTTATTATGTGCTTTTGTGTTCTCCCTTCTCTATGCAGAAGTGATTGCTGAGACAGCTTTGTACAAATGTGTCCTGAAACCTTTAAAGGAAGCCATTAATTCGTCCTTAAAAGAAATACACAACAAAGACGGATCTTTACAGCAGCTGAAAGAGAACCAACTTGTGATACAAAACACAACTACCACTGACCTGGGCATCACAACCAGTGTGCCTGAAACTGCTGTGCTAGAAAAGATCCTTCACAAGTTCACGACCATGCACAAGACTTACTCTCCAGAAAAGAAAATTGCCATCTTGCTAAAGACCTGCAAACTCATCTATGACTCCATGGCTCAGGGAAATCCAGGTACAGGACTCTTACTGCAAATGTTATCCACTGTGGGTCTTTCTCCATGTATCAAAGGAACAGTTTATGATACTGCTGGCATGGCAATATTCTCATTGGAGGTAGCAGTGATGGTTGATGTGTCTGGTATCAGATGTCTGCAGGTTGTGTTCAGAATGGAATGGTTAGTGACATTTTCTGCACTAATAACTGGTATACGATATTACCTGGTTAACTTTAAGCTCCGTAACTCCAAAAACTGTGTGTGTTTTATGGATGTTTTATGGATAATGTTATTTTTGCACAGGTCTTCACACAGCTCTCCAAATATCCTCAGGGCTCTGTACCAGCTTGTTGCAGAGTAATGGTAAATTCTAGGAATGGGTCTTTGTGAAAAGACTTGATTTGGCCTTTTCAGGCCAAAATTTTAGTTTTGCCTAATCTGAGAAGGAGATGCAGCGTGCTAGTAGTTTGTCACTAATTCCTGATGCTACAGTAAATTCTAAAAGCCACTTCTTCAGTGCAAGGCAGTATGTGCTCAACATGGGCCTCAGGCCAACCACTAATACAGAAATTAAATCCTTGGCCTGCAGAGAGGATGCATCTTTGTAGGTAGACCAGCAAGTCCCTTCCTCCAGCAATCTGCTTTGCTAGTTCCAGAGCTTTTTTTTGTATACTGTGAGCAGAGAAGCCAGGTATTAATTTGCAATAACCTGTGGTTGTTCAAGAACTCACAATCACAAAAGGTGTTTTTAGCTGTTCTGCTTTATTTTGTACTGGCAACAGCCTTGGAGTGCTCATACAGGGATTGTTATGTCCCTGCTGAGCCTCACCTCAAGGTGATCTCTTGGATAGTAAGCAGCAAGGTTCAGGGACCAGTCTAGACACATTAACAGCAGAGCAAGAAACCACCCCAGGGCTAAGCCTTAGCTGCAGGGTGGAAAGGACCTTTCACTGTCTCCAGGAATTATGAGATTTAGATATATGTAGAGGAATTTGCTGTAACTTTGTTAAAACAGTTGTGTGAAGTCTGAGAATAAATTTGGTTTAGGTGAAGGACTTGCAAGCCTCATTAAAACCCACATAGTCTCCTTCTGATGCTGGTGGTATGTTACATACACATCACATCTTAGTTTGCTCAGGGATGGAATTTCTCTGTTGAAGGAAATACTGTTGTGTCACAACAGAAATAAGGAGTCAGGGAAATAACTCAAAAACCCCTACATGTTTAAGATACTGACATTCATGAAATCAGATGGTTTCATTGTGGTTTGCTACACTAATCAAAGCACTGCATTTTGGCCAGCTCAGCTGTTTTCTCATTCTGAGTACTACTGCCAGCAGGGTGTAGGTTGGAAGCTGATTTCACCCCTGTGTATCCAGTTCCCTCTCCCTTATACATGATCACTGATGCATATCAGGGCTTGGCCAGAAAAAAACTAGCCTGGAAATATGGAAATGTACCCCAATGAATTCAGACCTGAAAAAGAGGCTAAGGGGAGAAGAATGCTGTATCTAACTCCTGGAAAGGAGCAGACTTGGAGAGAAATTGAGTGAAATGCCTTGTAGACCCATTTAGAAGTAAAATGTGTGAAGCCTCTTCCACAGAACGAACTGAACCCAGAGAATTTTCATTTTCCAGTGGCAAAGACAAATTCTCAGCAACCTGAAATATTTTTCTGACAGCAAATTCCAGCTGGTGGCATGAAGAGCATGCTGTGGGCTGCTCAGAGCAGATTTCAGCAGGTGGGAATTCTGCTTCTCTCTGCCCATCTCAAGAGCAATAGAACAGGGCCCCTTTTGCTTTCAGCCAGCCATGAGGCAGCACAGTGTTCTTCACACAGGAAGAGCAGAGGCCATGCTCAGCTTCCTGTGCAATAACTTATTCTCCTTTTTGCTCCTTTTCCTCACTGCTCAATTAGAAAGTTCTCTCCTCTTCCAAGATCAGAGCAGGTGAAACACAAGCTAATAATTTCCTTTGCTACAGGACCAAAATCAGTCTATCTCTGTCAGAATCACTGCTTGTTCAATAACATGGAAACCACTTGTGTTGCGTGGTTAAATTTACAATTTGTTGGCTCAGGCCAGGTCTTTATTCACTTTAGGCTGGCCACAGGATGAGCTGACCTAAGAATATGGTTTCATTTCTCAGAGCAAAATGCAAGCACCTTTTCTTTTCAAACATATATGAAAATACAAGTTTTTTAACATTTTGAGACCCATGTACAGCAGTCTGTGTTTGGCCAGGATGTACCTTGGTACCAAGAGGTACCAAGTTTCCTTTAAAACTAAGGACAGGCTTACTCAGGAACATCTGTACCTGTGGTGGTGCCCATCTTTGTCCTCCTGAAAGAGTCATGAAACTTTAAAGTCTGCCTTGACTGACTCCATGTCAAGGCATTTTAAGAAAGGAGGAGATCTTTGGTTTGATTACAATTCACATTACATGACAAAATCTGCCTAATAAATTGGCTGTGGTTGAAATCCCTGATACTGAATACTAAGAACTGAATGGTTCAGATCCTGAACTGGTTTAAACTAGCATTTCTTCCTCAAGCTGAAGGCAATCAGCTTGTGTAAGTGATTGATCACAAAGAATTAGGAAGGCAAGTTCACTTGTATAACAAGTCTTTGATTTACAGCTTTCTCTCGAGAGACCACTGAGTACAGCTCCATGACAGAGTTGAAGTAGAACTAATCTCTGGCTGCATCTCTCTGTAGGTGGCCACAAAGGGGTATCATGCCCAGCTTCCCAGCACACACATTGTGCAGGCAGTCCATGGAGTCCTGATGATTCATCTGGCTACATATAGGTTTCTGCTTTAGAGCAAGATGACTCAAGGCAAACTCCAGTGACAATACTGATTAATTCATTACTGGCTATAAAAGAAATTAAGGGGCCTGGGCTCAGATGCTCATATGTACTATGTAGGCAGTGATATTAGTAAGTGAATCCTCACCAAAGGCACAATTATGATAGTATTGAGATGTCTCCCTGAGCTTTTCCAATTCCTATGCAAACTTAAATAACTCAAACATATGCCTCCAAGAATATAACCGACAATCTGAAAATATGTAACCTGCCTGCTAAAAATACTAGGAATAGTAAGAATAAAATGCATTGGAAAAAAATAGAGTTTGGAAACCCATGCCCCACAAAATGGCTGGCATTTTTTTGTTACTAAAAAAATTAAGAGACAGGGATCATGCAGTTCTTACACTTGGAAGGCATGCTGCAATATGCACAGGGACAGCTGGGCACATAGGTCATTTATGTAGAAACACAGTAATGTTATATAGAAAAAAACCCTTATTATGTGTCTTTCAGAAATACCCTTCCTCAGACAAAAGATTAAACGTACATTGTGTGATATGAGTAGAATGAGAATCTCTGCTTTTCTTCAAGAACACAAGTGACGCCTGTAGAGTAAAAAACTATGGAACTCTGCAATACGTGTGGCGTGAACAGGCAGTGGTGTGCCTGGGTCACCCAGCCTCGTGCTGCCTGGGAGCTGCCACTGTGGAAGATGATGGAAAAACAAAGCAGCAGTAGGCATTGGTTTATGGAAACAGTCTGTGAGGCAAACAGGCCAAATTTGGTCAGTCCGTGAGTGAGGAAAATAAAGGATGGAAAAGCTCTAAGTTTTGGCTGGAAGTTTGAAAGATGGGCAGATTGCTTTCAAAGGAGATTCAAGAAGAATGGAGGTACAATTTTCTTACTGCAACATTTCTAACTTGTGAACTACCAAAAATTATGAAGCTTCATTTTTGGACTATCTTTGAACTGCATAGGCAGCTGAGTATATAATTCAAAACTCTAGTTCGTACTAGTTATGGAATTGGTTAGGTGACCAAAGCATCTGATATAATAATTTCTATTGCATAATTTTACATAGATAATGTGCATAGTCTGCTTTTGGAAAAAGCGGATAGATAAGACATATATTCCATTGGAATATTTCTCTTCCTTAGCTTTTAGAATGAAGTTTGTCACCCCTACAGAACTGAGCAGCCAGATATTAGCTTCCCTGATGCACTCCTATAAGGATCTGCAGTTGGTGAAGAGAAAGCTGTGTTTTCAGTGGGATAGCTGAACTTGTGCAAAGGAAACTGGACTCCAATACTTCAGCAGCCAGTGAAGAGCCCATTCTAGAAGCTCCTAAAGCTGTCAGAGCAATCCCATTACACTGCTTATTATCATATCTCACTTCTGAGAAGGAAAATAAGGCTATACATAACAGGTTTACTTTGATACCTTTTGGAAGAGGATATTTGTATTTAAGTTACTTTTAATGAAGACTGATGGACTGATTTTGGGTTTTCTGCCATCTAGCACATTTTCTACATTTGAATCAAAGAGAGTTCAAATTTTTCATGGGGAGCAAAATTCCTCTGATCTCTAAACCATACATTTTTGAAGTGAATTCATGCTGTCTGCAGCTATTAACTCACTGAATTCACTATATCACAAATTAAACCTTGCTGAAAGTATTATGGGATAGACAAGAGACAGCAAAATGCTAGTGTGTGGAAGGAAAGTCGTAATCTTTTCTTATGATCTTGAACAAATCCCAGTTAACCTTTCTGCATCTCAGGTTTCCTAGCTACAAACTGAGGCTAAAATTCACATTTTGTGGAGATCTGCTTCTAGACATCAAGCTAGTGTTCATAAAATATTAGGTGCAGGGCATCACCTCTGCTGGTTTTCAGAATACACACAGACAGAAAAGAAATGCATGAATGTGTTAAAATAGGCTGTAATTTCTTTATGGAGGCTTGGGCAGAATTCCAGTTGCTTTAAATCATGCATTTAATTAATACTCATCTATTCAAGTGCTGCATGCCAGCCAGGAGATGACGTTGTATTTGCTTTGCTATAAACATAATAGGATGAGTTTGTGGCAGAAGAGAAGGCTTATTTTAAGCTTCTTAGAGATATTTATGAAATAAATGTTTCCTGACCCCACAGGGAAGAAGGGGAAATAAAGCAAGCAAGTCATATTTGGAGTAGGACACCACCACCTTGAATAGGCAAACTCAGTCTCACTGTCACTGGAGCAGTGGCAGGGTCAGATCTAGATTTAACTCTGTCAGCTGCAATAATTCCCCTCTGTGAGAGACCACAGATGGAGCAAGCCACACAGGTCTAGGAATTTGGCTTGGTCCCAGCTTGAAAGTAGAGCTGAGGAGGCAGCAGCCTGCAGAGAATACTCCTGCTGCAGCTCCCAGATGGACACTGGCTAGTGCCTTGGTGCCTTTCATGGCATAGGAAGCATGTGGGTTCTACAGTCCTGAAGCAACCTTTCAAGTCTCTTGGTTCACAGGCATTACTTCATCTATCCTTGTAGATTCCTGCTTCTGGTCATGTTTGAGTTACTGACAGCACCTATTACCCCCAGGGATGGACTGAGATACAGAGCACCTCAGGGCCATACTTGGACTGATGTCAGAGGTAATCCCTGGACCTGCAGGGGCCAGGAGAGCAGGGGAGAATCCGAGTCCTGCCCTCTCAGGCACTTCTCCTTGGCTCCAGGTGCAGTCAGTGGAGAGATGCTATTGAGATGCCTACAAGGTACAATATACTATTGTATATGGTCTGACCTGCCCTTGGCCACATTGGAGGTTTGTGGCAACACGTGGAGTCAGAGCTATATCACTGGTGATTAGTTTTGCTTTTCCCTTGTTGACACATACTGCTCCTGCTGACTTTAGCTTTTGCTATGCACATGGGTGTTTAAAATTGGATGTCATATAGCCACAGGTGGATTAAGGTGGTGTCTCGTTATTTAGACAGCTTGTGGGCATACAGAATATGGAACATGTGTTCGTTCCATTATTTCAGTCAGACATCCCTGCTCAGCATTTATTACACAAAAAGGAACTGTAGATCAGATTTTAGCATTTAAGGCATATAAATGGCTGGGAGTCCAATAATATTTCTATGAAGTCTTAAAGTTGAGAAGAGTTTATACCAAGGACTGGAGGGCAGAGCAGCTAAATCAGCTTATAGAAAAGAGATAAACAGCATAAAAAAGAGTTGTCTTCATGCCTGACTGTACATACAACGACTTCTCACTTCTCACTTCTCTCACAAAAAAGAAACAGATTCTGTAGCCATTCTTGAGAATTTTCCCCTAACTTTACTTCTGTTGACACCAGAGGCTGATGAATGGGGACATTGAATTGTTTTGTTCCAAGCTGCTGTTTCCATTCTGCATTAGTTTGTCAGTCTGTTCTCCGTTCATGATCTATTTTGGTGACATGCAAAAAAACACCAACCAACCAACCAGCCCACCACCAAACAAACAACCCAAGGTTTTTCTCCAGTGAATAGAAATTTATACTGTGAAGTAGCAACTTTCTTGGATGCCCTATCAGACACCACACAAATTAGTAATGAAAGGGAAGTAGTAGGAGAAATTCTGCTGTTGGTGTTGCCTTGGAAATCCCTTGGCCTTCAGGAAACTATAATGATTCTATCCATGCCACTGGTAAGTACTTACTAGATCACAAAGAAGAAGTTTTTAATGAAGGGAAGAATGAGCCTAAAAAATCTTTGGTATTTTGTATTCCTTTACACTAATTTCAATTAGAGCTAACTCTGTTGGCCTCTGGTGTACCTGGAGCAAAAGGAGAATAGCACTTTTTGCTGTGAAGTTTTTCTGTTACATTTTCATGTCTCAGTTTTGTCATCTTTTTCTTTTTCCTGGAAAATATTGAACAGCTGTAATACTAAGCTGCTTGTATTAAGGTAATGTATACGACAGTAACGAATTAGACCCTTTGCATAGCTAAAGCTTTCAAAGAGACATAAGCCAAAGGAAAAACAGACAAAAAGATGTTCATCCAGATGTTAATGGAACAATGAAGTCCACTTATAGTTTCGTTGGAGACCTAAGGCTGTGTCTTTTAAGTAAATGCAGCCATAACCAAGCAACCAGAACTGAAAGTGTTAATCCAGCTTCCATTAAATAAACAGTCTGTGTTGTGGCCTGTGTGGGCTCTGTTAGAAACAGACTGAGTTACAGCCCTGATGATTTCTCCTTCTCTAACACTTTGTTTTAAATGGATCAACTCTCTGTTCGCTAGATGTATAACTGGGTTTATTTCAAAGCCACACTTTTTTTCTTTTTTTAAATCAGGGGCTAAGCTCATGTTTATTTGAGGCTTCAGAAGAATATCTTTCTTTGCCAGTGGAGAATCTGCGTCAGCTATGAATGACAAAAAAAGAAATCTGACTCATGGCAAATATTTGAAATAAGTCAGTGGGAACATTTGAGAAATAGGAATGTATGCCCTACCATGGAAGAGCATGTGTGCTGTGGCCCAAAAATGGCTAGAGCATAATTTCACCAAAACTACATCAAGGGTAGCTTTGATTCCTTGAGGTGAGACAAGCAACTCACAAGAGAGACACACACAGTGTGTGAAACCAACACATGAAACCAACATATCCAAGTGCATTGGTGAGAGAAAACTCCCCACAGTCTGAGAAAAGACATTCAGAATGAAGCAGATTAGGTTAAGACATCAACTCTGGATGTTGGGAAGATAGGTCTGGTAAGAAACTTGCTGTTGTGGGTTTTCCATGATGAATTTATAACATATTGGTTGAAAGTGAAAGTACCATTCAAATCAGAAAAGTTATCCTTGTGTTCTTTGTGGCTTATGCAGGGAAGCTTCTGTTTGGATTCTATTTTAAACAGTAATTATTTAGAATTATGACTGTTAGCATGCTTTTTTTTGTCCTTAGAGATCCCAAAGAGCTCTTACAGACTGTATATTAAGTCACTTTGTTAACTTAGTTGATATGAATGTTTTAAGCACAGGAAATACTGAGCATCTGCTGCACACCAATTTAAAAATCTAGGTTTAAGTCCAATGTGAAAATCTTTCAGCTTTCTTAGCTAGCCAGCATAGTTGCAAAGGTGATTCCTCTTGGATCCTAGCTCTTGGGAGACTGTCTTAATTAGCATAATGTAGTGTGATGTTTTGCCTTCTGAAGGGACATAAACCCAGAAGTCCTCAGTCCTAAAACCACTGTCTCAAATTGTATTTTCTGTTTTTTGGTATCACACATAGAGTAAGCCTAAGAGAATAAATACCCTTAATGCATGTAGACAACTTCCCTACTAATAATGCCAACCTGAACTGCAGTCTCGATGTCAGTATCAAATCACAGGGACAAGCTGGAGGCCTTTGCATACTTCAAAAATTGCCAGTTGTTTGTGATCAATGAAGTTAAGTTTATATTTCTCCAGTTAATTTTCAAGATCCTATTTTGGGATTGAAGCAAATTTACTTACTTTTTAAGTGATCTAAATTTCTGTTTTTCACATTTTTTTCTTCAATGGTGCTTTTGAGCTTTAACTCTTCAGATAATATAAGCTATAGTCTGCAAAGGACTTGCTGTGTGAGAATCTGACAATGTTGTGTGGGAACATTATTTTGTGGTGTTATTGGGACCACACTGTGTTTCTCTTTGCTCAGGGAAGCCCTATGGTGCAGATGACTTCCTCCCTGTGCTCATGTACGTGTTGGCCCGCAGCAACTTGACTGAAGTCCTTCTGAATGTGGAGTATATGATGGAGCTCATGGACCCTGCTCTGCAGCTAGGAGAAGGTAAGAGTACAGTGTTTGCTCATGGCATATTCACTTTGGAAATCATCATTTGTCTCACTTCAGTGTTTGTGAAAGTGGGGCAGCAGGGCTCTGGATAGATTTTGTGCATAATGCTTTGGCCAATCTTATCAAATCTGAATTTAAATCTAAAAATCTAAAATCTAATATTATTGCCAGACACTTTAACTCCTTTCAGCAGTGTAGTGCCTTAAGACACAAGCTAGAAAGGCAGGGACTCATCATAAATGATAACTGAGGTGCTGGATTAGCAACCCAAACAGAGACATCTTGTGGTCCTTGGCCCAAAGGCTGAAAAAGTGGAAGGTTTTTGCTGAAAATTAAACATCCACTGCAAACAATTGTGCAGATACTTTTATCTATTCCAGTGAGAAAAGAGCACATTTCTTGAACTGCATTGTATGTCCCACGGCTACATTCTCATGGACACTCTACTTTTAAATTTGAGTAAACCCTCTGACAATGTTCTCTGACTGAGCATCATAGCGAGACAGAAAAAAAAGTTAGGTTAGAGAGGAATATTGAGTTTGGAAGTGACTAAAGACCCCTGTTATCAGAGAGATAAATACCCCAGGGAACTGTGGGCCTCTAGTTTCTTAAATATAGCTTGGGAAGCACATGCTTCCCCAGTGATAGTTACATACTCTAAATTAGGAACATAGATAATTTATCAGCAAGTAGTCACTAAACCAATAAAATGGGGTTTATTTTAGACTTTGCTTCGGTAAGTACTGAGGTTCTAGAAAGCAGTCCAGGATGAACATCAGCAGACTAATTTTATTTATATTAAATGAGGATATAAGTCTGAAACTAAGCATGTCATCCCAGCTCAGTGCAGCAGAGTGGGACAATAGTAAGTACTAAGAGGATGATTAGTAGCAATACAAGACATTAGTAAGGTGTTTCTGCACAGGCTAGTTTTTCTGCTGAAAATAATTCTTAGCAGGGAAAAAAAATATCTTAGCTGAAGTACAGCATTTTGTGGTCAACCAAGCTGCTTTGTGACTACTCTGCACACAGGCTCTTCATTCCAAAGGGGCCCAATACCAGGCTGGCTACTGAAGTCATCTGGGTTGAGGAGCTCAGGATATCGAAAGCAAAGCTGGCTGGAAGTTCTTTTAGCTCAAGGATGCAAAGACTCTGTGAAATGTGCACTCCAGTCAAAAGGGAATATTTTGCGAGGGAGTTTCAGATTAAACTGACTGAATAATCATATCAGAAAGGACACTGGGAGTAACTGCAGATGTGAGGAATGGGGGGGAAAAGAACATCTCAGTGAAGACAGCTCTGAGATTGCAAAGTGTAGAACTGGCAAAAGTTAACTTGAATTAGGCCTTTCAAAGTTGAATAGCAAAAGGTGTTCAGGTACAGAAAGTAAAGGAAAAGAAGTAAAGAGTAAGTGAGAAAACTGTGAAATTTCATAGGTCAATATACAAAATCACTTCAATTTTGCCTCCAAATGAAAAATATACTTCAAATTCATTTAACAGCAATGGCGATGCTCCCTGAAGCCGCCAGCCATGCCGACCATGGGCCCCGCAGCGGCGGAGGAGCCGCCGGGAGCCGCGGGCGGCCAGAGGGCTGGGCGATGTGCGAGGGCCATCTAGAGGCACTGCCTGGCGTGAAACTCCCTCACAGCAGCCGCTGGCTGTCCCCGTTCGCCAGCACCGCGGTGCTGGGGCCGGAGTCCCTGCTGGGGCCGGGGCAGGGATGTCCCCCATGCTGCTGCTCCGCAGCTCCGCGGGCTGACTGCCCGAGGCCGGCCCGAGCCTGAGGGCCGGGCTGGGAAACCAGCCCTTCATCGCCCTGCTCGAGCTGCCCTGCCACCAGAGCGCCTTCTCTGTCCTTGTCAGGGCCTATCTGCACCTCTGTGGCTGGAGCCGGTTTTATCGTGGCCCAGCTGCCACCCCGTGGCTGCAGCTGGTTATTTATTTATTTGCTGCTTCAAGTAGCGCCGCAGCAGCCGGGGGTTCTGGGGGAAAAGCCCTTTTGCCGCTTTACTCTGTTTCTCTGCGTTGCCAAGATTTATCCCGCGGCCCTGAACAGCCCAGGAATTACAGGTGAACGCCCGGGATGCCTGTGTAGTCAATAGAGAATGGAGGGAACAGAGGATGGATTGCTCCTGCAGGTCTGAGACATCCCTCAACAGTGTTGAGCCCACAGGAGCCCTGAAATCTAAACATTTGAATAGTGGAGCTGGGGGGCTTTGTGCTTCTCCTGCAGTAATCTATGATTATTTCTATTTCCCTGCATTGTGGAGACTGCTCAGGAGCCCAAGTTACAGATCTGTTGTATGGGCCCTGTCAAACACAACAAGAAGATGGCCGTGGCCCAAAGAATAAACATCTGTGGCTTGGGCTTGTTTGTGAAAGCAGTTTTTGTAGCTCTTTCCTTTCAGCCTGTGTTCTCTCTCAGGACATCTACAGCCTCAGCAGTCTGGGCAGCAACAGCGATGTGGAGCAGAGGGGTAACACTGCAGGACACTGGTCTTAGGCGTCCCTCCCCTGGTTAACACCGTGACCGCTGCGCTGCCTCCAGCAGGGCACGGGCAGTGCGAGGGTCAGACCCTGCCCGGTGTGGGCATCGGCGGGCAGGGTGGGAGCAGGACTGAGTGCCCATGAACGTGTGATGTTCATACAAGACTTTCACCTTTTGCAGGCTCCTATTATTTAACCACCACCTACGGGGTCCTGGAGCATATCAAGAACTATGATAAAATCACTGTGACACGGCAGCTGAGCGTGGAGGTGCAGGACTCCATCCACCGCTGGGAGCGACGGAGAACGCTGAACAAGGCCCGGGCTTCCCGCTCGTCAGTGCAGGTAGCTGGCATTATATCTTGGGGAAAAAGCCTGCATGCTTTCTCCATACTTAGAAATTTTTAATATGGCAATTATTTTAAAATTAAATTATTTGAAATCACTATTAAAAAAGAAGAGTACATCCGGTGCAAGATTTCCAGATCTTAAAAAACCACACCACATTTGAAATACATACTACTTATGAAATAAATTTTGAAATCTTGAAGTACCCTTATAATGTAGTTTTAAATATTAGTGCAAAGTGATTTTTTTGTTCATTCTCAAAGGAGGTGTGCTAGGAGCCTTTGCATGTGGGAGCTGTGGTGGGAACTCAGAAGCCCTTCTTAAACATCGCCCTTAATGCCTGGGGAAATCATGGGCTAAACTGAGATGTGAGCAGGCCATGCGGGGCTGCTTCTAAATGCCATAAAGCTGTAGAAGGGTTTATGGAGAGAGCCAAGAGCCAGTTAGTCAGGCATCTTCCAGAGCCTGTCTGGCAGCAGGAAAAGATCCATCCAAGTCTCGTTAGTTTTGAAGCCCATGCTGTGCATGGCCTGGCAAAGCTCACCCTGTGCACCCGTGGGAGAGGGTCCCAGGACAGAGGGGTGCTCTGGGCCTCCAGCTGTGGTGAGGCTGGTTCAGACAGGCCCTGCCGGCCCCATGTGCTGTGATCAAATTGTTGCCCACAGGGAGGCAGCAAAGGCCACGTCTCACATTCTGTAGCGCTTTCAGGGAGGCAGCAGAGGCTATGTCTCAAGCTCTGTAGAGCTTTCACAGTGCAGAAATGGAAGGTCTCCGGTGGGAGGAGTAGTCCATGCCAAAGTATGGAGTTGAACAGGTTTCCCATATTGCAGTCAAACCAGTCCCTGATGATCTCAGAAACGGAATGGTGGATAAGATACAGCAAATATCCCTCTAGCCCTGAGTGCTGCTCTGGCAGTTGCTCATAGAAGTAAGTACCTAGCATGGAGCATAATAGCTGAGAGAGCAAATGACACATTTCTCCAGAAGACTGCCACCACCTCCAGCAACTGAAGGGCCATTTTCCACCCTTTTGAATGACGGTTAGTATCACAGACAGGAAAGCCCATTCTGGCAGAGCTAAACAGCTTGCTGATATGTTCAGCAGGCCTCTACCCATCCTTCTGCCTGCCTTAATTAACTGCAGTGATACTCCTTAAATGTAGTTTGGAAGCCCATTTGGAAATTCCTCTTCTGCCAGGGAACCTCATTATTTTCTGAACAAAATGTCTGAAATCTTTTTTTTTTAAGTTCACAGATGCAAATTAAACACACAGGTTCCACTGTGACCAAAAGCTCTCTAGATTCTGTTCCTTATGTGTTTAGCAAGATGAAAGTTGTCACAACAGCTGTTACTGCCTGAAATAGGATACAAGTAAATCAGCCTTCTCAGCATAACTTCTGCTATTTCCTTACTGATGGAAGGAAGTTCAGAGAACCCACTCTCAAGGTGCTGTTTGGGTGACTGTGAAGTTGCAAGGTCACCACACTGCTAGCCCTATCCCATCTCTGGGAAACGGGGTTTTCAGGTCAGATCTCTGACATCTGTTGTTCTTGTCTGTCACTTCTTTGCAAACCCTTTCTTCAGGAGCTGTGAAAAGATGGGAGAATGAAACATTGCAGATTGTTCTCTAAGGATATTCACTAAAATCAGAAAAAAGCACTTTAACTTCAGTGTCTTTATGGTGCTAATTACTTGGCAAAGGGCTTATTTAAGTATTTGCTGATTCAGAGCCTGTCAGAGAAAGAAAGGAGAAAATAACTAGGACATTGGAGAATGACTGCAGGATATTTGGGAGCTTTAGGCAGCTAGAGCTTTGTGAGTGAATTCTTCCTCCTTCAGTCCTAGGTTACTGTGTTAACTGCAAGGTGTCTCCTCATGTTTCTCTTCAGGATTTCATCTGTATCTCCTTTCTGGAAATCAGTGGTCAATCAAGGACACTTGCTTCTCGTCGTGACACCACAGCTGAGCAGCTGAGCCAGCAGTGTGCCGAGAAGTTTGAAGTGTCCCATCCCAAGGACTATGGACTCTTTGTTTATGTTGATGACCAGTGGCTGCAGCTAGACAAAGATGCCCTTCCTCACCATATCAAAGCCTCCCTGCTGAAGAGTGAAACTAAGAAAGATTTCAATTTTATTTATAAACCAATAGACCATAAAACTCCACCAATTCCAATTGTCAAAGAGTCAGACTTTTCCTAAGAGCCATGCTGCTTTTTTTCCGTCTTCGCCATCATCCTGGAAGAGCTGGATAATTTACCTTGTGAGATCCTCTGCAGACCTCAAAAGTTCTCTGGAGTGTGTCCTTCAACCTAGGGCAGATGGGCTAATTGCAGATAGTGTCTGAACACACGGCATTTCTCAGTAGAGGTCATTTGCAGACCTCTTTTACTTTGCAGAAGTAAAAGAAGCATTCAGGAGAACATTAATCCTCTGGAAAACTTGAAGTATCAATCCTCACAACCTCTCAGCTGAAACCAGCCAACACTGCAGAATGTAAATGAACAGTAGAGAAAATCCAGAGATCTTGCAAAAAGGTGGACATTTGCTTTAAAAAAAATGATGGCAGGTGTGAATCACATCTGTGCACAAGGCCTTTGAAAGGCCTGCACACACCTCAATCTGTTTGGAGGTAAGACTGTGTTTGTGCCTTATGGTATCTGTTCACCCAGTTTGAATAAACTGGGTCTTGTCTGATGTATTCAGTGGCATAGCATTGCCACCTGTAGCAGAATTCCATCTCTATCTTGATGTCAACAACATGTCTTTGCTTTTGAAATCCACACAATTACAAGCAGTGCAAGATACCCTGTACTTTCACTAAGAGTATGTTTTTTGCCTTCTATCTATTTGTCACTCAAATCAGGTAGCATAGGCATTTTCATCAATGTATTTTTCGTAAAGATTGAAAGTCTTCACCATCAGTTTTACATGTACAGCAGTTTTATTCACATTGGTTGTTTGATAGTGTCTGGTTAATTGTATATTTATTTCAGTGTGTGACATGGTGCAATTATTTTAAAATATGCCTTTGTAAAGAATTTAATAATTTGCCCAGTGTATCAAACCAGATTAAAATTTGAAAGTCAAAAGGAGCTAGAATTGAATACCAATCCCTTTTTACAAGGCTGTCATTTTCACAAGTGTTATCCTAGCTGTAATTCCCACCAGATTATTACTTTAATAAATTCAGGCTGTTGTAGACAGAACTTTCTAATTCTCCTTTCTATGTGGGCTTTTAGTCATTCAGTCATTGCAGACTTAAATTTCCCTGAACAAACAAGTTCCCACAGAATATATTGAATCAATGCAAAAAATGCATTTCATTAAATTTTTCAGGATTGGATAATGGAAGCAGGAGCCTTAATTGCAAGTCAGGTCTGTGTCTTCCGGGTGCCTTCACACAGGCAAGATTCCCGCTGAGAACACAAAATACTGGGTTGTCTGCATGCAGGAAGCTGGCAAACTCCACTGCAGCTCCACCAACTTGGAATCAGGCCTAGCAAAGCTCTGATTACAAAAAGGTGTTTTACTCTGGGTTTTGCTCAAATTTGCTATTGTTTCCTCCCAATAACATTCAGAAGAGATTTAGGGCACCTTGGGCCAAGCTGCCCAAGGTCTCTGTCATACTCCTGAAGCTCCAAGGATAAAAGGGTATTACAAGTAGCTGGTCCCTTTCTCAGTCTCTAGGGCTTGAAATAAATGTCTATGTCTCTGTGCCCCAGCTGTAGCCAAATCTGCACACAAAGGGCAAACCAGTGCTGTGCATCTGCCAGCGTGGGCTGTGTGCACATCTTGTTGGGAAGGGACAACAACTAAGAATAAGGAACAATGAATAACAGCAATCTTGGTTTTGATGATATGTGCAGAGCTTGCAATGCGTGACAGCACAGCTGACTCCGAATTCATGGCTATTTCTGCTGCGTGCAGCTGTTGGCACCTCTGCCTTGCCTCTGGGCAGCACATCTGCAGGATGCCCGAGCTGAAGCCCTCTCTCATAATGCCATCACCCTCCTGCAGGGTTGTGTGCTCCTGCTGGGAGCCTGGGCCCCTCTCAGGGTGGCACTTGGGATGCCAGGGCTAAACCTGAGACACAAGTTTCTGATCTGGGCGGTGATGCTGCCCTGAGGGCACTCACAGGTGTGGCTGTCTCCAGTGCCTCCCCAGTGCCTCCCCACCCTGCTCATGGTCCAGGACCCCACTTCAGCTTCCCAGGGCTGTCAGCCCCTGCCTCAGAGATGCTGCAGTAGGAGCAGTCTCCAGCTCTTGTGCCCTCAGCCTGTCCCCCAGCCTGTCCCCATTCCCAGGGAGGTTCTAGATGTCCAGGACTGGGGCTTCCCCTGATGCTCCCCTGATCCTTGACCCGATCAGCTTATCATTATACTATAGCATTCACAGTCAATGAGTCTAAAAGGGTAAGAGGTAAAATAAAAACATGGAATGAAAGAAACTAGGACTGATCTGCTGGGTATTTCTGCAGAGTAACTGAACTTTGCACCATTCATAGTCAAGCAAATGATTGATGAAGTGAAGCATTCCAGCACCTCAGTGTCCTCGGACATCTGAGTCACCAGCTGGACCTTGGGGCTAGGAAGAAGTACGGGATATAGAGCTGGTCAGTGGAGCTTGTGGAAACAGTGCTAAATCACTGCAATCCAAATGCGCTCAGACCTAAATTTACTAATGTCTAGATCCAAAATTAGACCTGCAGATTCTAGTTTTTGAAATGCAAGAAGTGCCTTGATCTTTTGCATTTATGTGGGCTATTCTCAAATTGCACATGCAATTTTCCTCTGGCATAACAACAGCAAACTTTGATTTGATTTGCAAGAGCTGCCATGGCTCTCCCAAACCCAGAGATTATTGACAGTAATGCGAATTACTGTGCCTAGCTGTGAGCTGCCTGGAAGGAAATCCCTGTGCTAGGGCTCAGTGCAGAGCAGAGTGTGCTCAGAGGCTGTGGGGCAACTGCCTTGTTTGGTCCCATCATATAAACCATCTGCAGCGTTTCATTAAACATACATATCTGAGGTATGGGGGTGACATGGCCACAGCTGTCCCTTGTCAGGGAACATAAGCTGGGAGATGGCCTGTATGATGGTATTTTGGATGACCCAGGACAGAGAAGGGTGCTGCCTCTCCAAGCTCACAGCTCAGTGACACAGCTCAGTGGCTGCACTCAGGCTCTGCCTGCACCAGGTTCACACAGAAACAGCCTGCCTGGAACAAACATGCCGTAGTTTTGGTGACCCTGGCAAAGCACTGATTCTCCAGCATGGTGATTGCTGGAGCAGTTCAGCATGTCCCCTCCTCTGGACCTTGGTGCCCAGGATCCTGCATTGCTTTGGGCAGGTATCTGACCTTTTGGATGGTGTGAGAAAAAGAAGTCAAACGTGGGAATGAAATGGGCATTTTTAAATGCTTTTCCATGGGGTTTCCTCATGCTGCAGCCCAGGAAAAGAGGAAGCAGTTCAGCCTAGTGATCTGTGGCCTTCCCTGGTTAGTCAAGATGATCACACTGTGACTCACATGCCGGCCCTCATGTGAGCCCTCAGCAGACAGGAGTGTTCCAGGAGGTTTTGACCAAGTAGGGTTGTGCAATCCAGCCAAGGCCTCTTCAAACACTCATTTGCAGAGAAACGTTGTGCAATGATCACTCATTTAGTCACAAGGAAAGGATCACAGTGTGACAGAGGGGAACAGGGAGACCTGCTGAACCCAGCAACTTCTCCAGAGAAACAAACAGCCTGTGTGGCCACTGAATATACAGAGCTGATTTAACACCAGTTTGCACCTAGTGACACAATCTGTCAATAATTCATTGAAATAATTATGCTAGCAGGTCAAGTTTATCCTAAAATAAAAGCCATTGAGATCAAAGGCAGTTTCCATGCTGAATACAAGAGCTTTTGGGCCTCCTCATGCTCCAGTCACCAACAATACTTTGAAACCTGGAAGGAGACTGGGTTTTTACTATGGGCCTGTAGAGTGATTGAGGCTGGCAAGGACCCCTGGGCGTCACCAATCCCTGGTCAAATGGGGCTGCCTCTCAAGGTTGTTCAGAGCCTCATCCTTTCAGTGCTGCAGTCTCCAGGGTCATGCAGCCTTCCTGGGGCCCTAGTCCAGCATTTTAGCACCTTGCACTGTGAAAAATTCTTTCCTCCTATCCAGCTGCCATGCAGGCCCCTGCCTGTCCCACCAGCATCCCTCCTTGGATGGGTGCTGCTACTGAGGGATACTGGCCAACTCTGCCTGTGGTGCAAGAGTCACAGAATTGTAGGACCTTTGTTGTCTTCCATTTCTTTCGGGGTATCGTGTCCCTAGGAAGGAAACAGCTTCTGATTCAGAATTGCCTGAGCTCTTGGCACAACATGCTGCTTTAAGTCAGCACTTTAGCTTAAGCTTCCTTTTCCTCTACTGCCCCTCCACCCCTGTTTTCACAGGCAGAGGCTAAACACAAGAATGAGAGGCCTTCAGCCTCCTGCCCTGCGATGGCCACAGGTGCTCAGCACTTACCTTAAACTGTCCCGGTGAGACAAGAGTCAACTTGTTTTGAAGAGACCTAAAACAATACTGCTTACTGGAATATCTAAAAAAGTGCATTATCTCCAACTCACATGAACTGCTTTCTGCTTTCTTGCTGGTAAGGAAGAGGGTGGTTACCAGTGCCCTGAACAAAGCTGTGTCCATCTAAGTTTGCATTACACAGAAGCAGCCAGCACAGTGTACTGAGAAGGCTGATCATGGACCTGCCCTCCAGGTCCTCTCCAAGGAAACGCGAACTCCTGTGAGCAGGATGTTGGGTAGGAACACACAGCAGATTTGGCACACAGGTTGGAAAAAGGCCTTGGATTCCACTCCTAGCAACAAGGAGGAGGAGGACAGGAAACCTGGGCTGCAGTGAATGACACTTTTCCCCGGGGCTACGGATATACACAACTCTTCTGCTATTTTTATAAATAGCACAGCCTCAACTTTGCCCTGTTTTGCCTGGTGGTGACAATTGGCTAGAAACCTGACGGTTTTCCATATTTTGCATTCCAGCATCCCAACATTCTAGGAATGATAGGCTAAGCAACTGCATGCCTGCAGGAAGAGCGAGGATGTCTGTACTTGCCCAATTCACCACAGGATACTCTGGCGTAAGACTGACATTGCACAATCCTAAAATTACTTTCTCATTAGATTCTATTACCATCACAAAATAAACAGCCTGCTGTGCAGGTACTAAGTCTGATGCTATTTTCAGGCCTTAAAACAAATGTATTGATCAGTGCAGGTGAAGGTTATTGTTTTTTCTTCTGTGGGGCTGTTCCCTGAGGGACTGAAAAGGCAATGGGTCTCTGGATACGAACTGAAAATTCAGAGCATGGATGAGAACCTGCTCCATCTCAGACAGCACTGTGGGCACAGTGACATCTCCAGTATCTGTCTTTCAGTTTGCCACATATCCGAGGGAAGGGGTAACAATGCCATTTAGGATGGTGAAGCTATGGAAATCACTTGCAAGAGGAGAACAGAACAAAATCCCACTCTCAAGTTTCAGCTTTGCATCCTCAGAGATACAAGGGTCTGCAGGAGGGTCAAGGCACATGATGTGTCAGTGATGTGTGAAAATAAAAACATGCTAGCAGCTGATTTCTCACTGATAATTACTTTTTGAAGCCTATTTACTATGGCTGGAGACTCTTGGTCATAAAGTGACACCATCTATTAGGAATATGGAGGACTCCTTATTAATCTCTGAATTGCAGATGTGAAAATCCTAAAGAACAAAAGCCTCTTCTGAATACTTTAACAGAAAAATGGGCATATATAAAGGCTTAAAAAAATGTTAAACTTATGAATTGATGATGCTAAGTGCTTGGTGAAGTAGCCTGGATTTCTAGGGCAGAGAACTCTAAAAGCAGAGATTAGTAGAACAGCAGACTGAATGCATATATTCAAACACGACTTTGAAAGAGTAATTTCTCCTGTTCTTTCCAGGTGTTTGGGAGCTCTTGGTATGCTCTTTCATGGTAGCAGCCAGAATGACTAAGAACTGTCTGTGCGGCCAGCCTTTCCTCCTGCCATCACGGACTGCAACACATTCTGGCAGTCGTGAATTTCATACTCTTTATTTTTAGATTTCTGCTAAAAAAACCCCAGCTTTACAGCAGAGAAGAAACAAGAAGCAACTCAGAAGCAGCACATAGCTGAACTTTCAACA